TTATTAATCTTCTCAGGTTGATTCGAACTACATGATAACTAATAATCATCAAAAAAAGACAATGAGCAGGATTTTTTTTTCTTTTAACATTAACATGCATGTGGGACAGGAGAGTTTATGAAGGCTGGCAAATACCAAATGGAAATTGAGGTTTCTAAAAATTAAGGGAATTTGCAGAGATTACAACAATTGGAGGATGAAATAGACCAGCCTCTGATGAAGGAGAGAATTAAAGGTGTGTCAGATTCCCAGCAAGCCAGTTGTTTCTCAACCATGAGATTATAAGGAAATCATCTTTTTTAAACTTTCTAAAATTCATTTACATCTTCTAATCTTAAATTTTTCTCTTTTAATCTTTAAAGTGGGACCACACTTACCTTACTTGATATATTTATTGTGCCCAAATCATATTTCCTTACCAAATCTAAACCAATAAAACTATCAAATTGTAAAATAAGTGGAACAAAATTTGAACTTTAAATAAATATAATAAAATATTAATATGTTACTTTAATCTTCTTACATTTTTGGCATGCACTGTACTTTTACACCTCTGGGACTCTCAATATCATGAATACACTTTACAATAACAATTATAATGATACAGTGATAGTTTAGTAATATTTAATATTAAAATGGATTAAAGCATTAAACTATTGCCAGCAATATCAGGCACCGCATAGAAGCTTTGCTGCTATACTCTATATAAGCACAGATACAAAAATAAATTCTCTTCGTATTCCCCTTTTCTTTAACATTTTCCATGGCTTACTAGCCTTAAAGAATATTTGCAATTTAGTATAATTTCAGAGCTGAGCAAAGAGTTTCCAGCAATCTGGTTGGTCTAGCGGTTCCTTATATGACGCTATATAAACCGCTACATGCGGTTTATATAAAATGTTAAAATAAAATGTTAATGAATGTTACTAAAATATTATTATTATTGAAATTTCTCTGTTGTTCAGCTCTGAAATTATACTAAAAAAATTATTCGCTTCAGGTTCGGTGAATATTGTCAAATAATCCCCTCAACTTCGTCTCGGGGATTATTCGATGATATTCACCTCATCTTCGGCGAATAATTGTTAAATCATCTTTATGAATTCTAAAAGTTCCACCACTTAACTCTTTAATTCCCAAGATCTGGTTGATAATTCCCCCTTTAGCTGATACACATATCCTGGCAAATTAGAAACAGGAATTTGGTGTTGCATCAAGGTAACAACTACCTAATAAGCATGAGTATTCTCATTACCTATTTGTTGGATAATGTATGGATATTGCAGAGAGAAGTCACATGTTTATCAGTTCTGAGAGTTATATGGTTAACATTTTGAAAGTAGATCTGAATGTGTGTCAAATCTCCTCTCTTACAGTGGCTGTCATGCATAATTCCTTTTCGATTCATTTCTGAGGATTTGGTTTAATATCAAGCAAGTATCATTTGATTAAGATCCAAATTTCCATGAAGATCGAAATTAACATGAAGCTTCTCCAAACACCATCAAGTGCTACAATATCCAGTAAACATGTTGTGTGAATTAACAAACTTAGCAGTATCTGCTGAAGTGTGCTAATGTGTCTGTGATATATCAACACATG